CTTACATTGCTCCATTTCAATAACACGTGCAAATCAAAGCATTATTTGTATTAGAAACAATTTCTTTATTCCTCCTGTAATACTTGGTTTTTCTTCAACACTTTCTTAAGAGTGAAATGGGTTGGACAATGTTTTAAATTTGGATGGTTACATCAGTCTGAATCCCAGCAATTTCATGACATTTATTTCAGGGCATTTGTCTTCATTGGAACTTGTATCAGTATTTTACCAGGTGTGAAAGCCCCTGACAACAAAACTTCCAACTGATGACAGCAGTAGGCACCCACTGAGCTGGCAGATAGGGAAAGAAGGGCTTTGGGGCACGGAAATCTACACAAGCTTCCTGGTCACCTGTCAGGTCACTGGGTTTAGGTAACTGCTCCTCATCTAGAATGGGTCATTTTCGATGTCGCAGTTTGTCTCCAGAGAAAGACTTTTTCCTCAAACAAGTTGCTGTGATTTCACTACCAAAAAATAATAATAACAAATAATCAGATACAATATTAGCATATATACAAATATGGTCAAACATTATTTTCAATGCAGATCTCCGTACAACTTGCATGATACTGCTGTCTTAAGGGTCTGGTGATGAACTGGATTTATAAAACACAGATACCTATGACAGGAAGCAAACTTAGTTCAGATAACTTCTAGTTCTGTATTTCAGTTTCCCACATTTCACTTCCAAGTCCCCTAACATGGGGTTGAACATCTCAGTCTGCTAGCAAGAAGAAAGGAGGGAAGATTTACTTGCTATAACTTAGTTGCCTTTAATGCAGACATTTATAGACATTGAAAACATGTCCAAGTTCCATTGGTACTCAATGGAGAGGAGGAGCCTGGTGTATTTTGTTTGGACTTCTACATTAGGATGAAACAAATCGTGGCCTATAAAGGCCTATTTTATACCATTGGTTTCAAAGGGGTCTATGGATCACTATTGTGGGTGTAGATATATAAAATTACCTGAGAAGACTCTTAATTCATACCTGAAGATAGATGAAAACTTTTAACTGTGTTATTAGCTTAGGATATAAAAGCATAAATTGTCCTTCAGTCTTTTTTTCTGCAAGTATTGTCAGAGTGAAGCTTTTGATTTGTGCATTTTAAAGGATTTTTCGGTAACATATCCTTAAGGCCTGTCACTATGTATTTTTCCAGATGCTAATTCATGAGGGCTTTAAATAATAAAGTGTTGTGGGTCTGTGTTGTTCTGCTGTAGCTTCTAGGACACAAGGTGGTGCTGACTACAGAAACCCCCTCCCTTGTTCAGCCTGGTGATAAGTTTGTGGCTTTCACTGTTGAGGCTGAGTCCTTACACTGCTCAAATGGTTAACACCTTTCTCTTGCAAAACGTCTTGATGACTTTCTTTAAACTCATTTCTCTAAACTATAGCCAAATCTGCCTCATGAATAAACATCCACATTTTTAGTCTTCAGATCTTGTGGAATTGGATGTAAAAAGTCTTCTAGCCTCCTTCTTTCAGCTGCTAGGTTGAGCAAATTTCAACCTCCTACCTCAGCGAGTGTCAGAAAGGCAATTCCTCCAGTGTTTTCATTCTCATTTTAGTCTAGCAGCTGCCCTTGGAGTTTTCTTGAAATGCCCAGTGGAACAGCAGCTCATTTTCACATTCCTGAGGGTACCGCAAGACACAGCCCTGGTGATGCATTATGCAAAGCCCTGGCTGGTGTTTGCTGGTGGGAGACTTCTCTCCCTCACCAGCATCTCATGTCAGCAAAGGGAGCCAGTACTGATGTGTCACCTGTTTTACAATTGCCGCTTGCTGGGGTAGGGGGTGCCTGTGCTTTAAATAGTTGTAAATGGGAAACAGCTTTTGAGGTGAAAGTGAGAATATTCCACTCAACTGAAGTGAGCATAAGAAAGCAATTGCTATGTTTAAAGACGGATACAGAGAAGTGGGACACTTACAGTCCTTGCTGTTACAGCTCATTTAGGCCTGGCTTCAGCATGGTTTCTTTTCCTGTGTTTTCTCAGCTAGCAGGCTCAGCCCCAGCTAACTCCCAGGGTAATTGATGGTTCCCTGGAGATGGGATCTGGTACTTGGGCTAAGCTTCGTCTGTTAGCAGTTCCCTTCCCAAAACAGATGCTGAACTGGGATGAAGTCACCCCTTCTGTTCTCCCAATTTCTGTTTAGCATAAATTCACCCCTTTGGCCTTCTGCAATTCTGGATAATGAAACTGATTACAGAGGCATCAGATTTTGTCTCTACTCCCCTCTTCTAAAGGGACTGGGTCTTAACAGCTGAGTGGATGTGGCTTATTCATACTTATTTGACTTAACCTATTTACACGGTGCAATCCCCAGCAGACAGATAACAGAGGAGGAGTTACATTACCGGTGTGCTTAAGTGTATAAACTTATGTGCAGCACAGAACTTTGAAAGTATTTGCTATATATAGAAAATGATGACTATGATTCATTGATAAAACCAGGTTTGATGGAAAATAAATTGAGGGATGATTTGTGTCTAAAGTAAATGGGCCATAAGCGTACTTCGTTGGAACTGGGGGAAGACAGTGACATTTTCCAACCTGGATGCAGATCGTTCAATGGAGATTCAAGGTGTCAAGAATTCAGTCTGAATCACTGGGATATTGGAATAATGATAGTCTACCTGAAATCCAAATATATGCCCGTGGTGAAGTATATGTATGTGAACTGTTGGGTAGACCTCAGTGCAAACAAAAACTTCTTTCCTCAAGGCAAGATCACATAAATAATCTGGGTTACAGCAAGAGAAAGGAATGACCACCTGAGACTTTGGCTGTCCATGGCAGGGAACCATTTCCATGGCACACCTTCATGAGAAGCCATCTCGGGGAGCCTGGAGCTGCCCAGTTCCTACTGCTGGTTGCAGGAGTTGGGTGTTGCAAGCCTTGTTGTGGCCAGGGACCTTATATTAAAATGCACGAGGGAGCAACACATCTAGCTGTCAAAGTTCAAACCAATTAATTTGAAGATAATTTCATATTGTAAATCATTTCAGAAGTTTTTTTTTTTTTTTTAAGGCATTTTTAGATTTTGCCTGTGAATCTGTTGTGCTCTATTGCTTACTGCAAGAGTTGCTTGCTCTGCAGAAGGCTTGTGTTTGTACTTGTTACTGTTTTTATTTACCAGTTAAGCTGTTTTTACCAGCTAAAGTGACACAGTCTAATGATTTCATAATGACTAAGAAAAAGAAATCGTGAGACCTTTGTAACAGACTCCGAGGAACTGAAATTTAGGTGACTAGGATGCAGAATTGGCTGCCCTAATGGTGACTCTTATGTGTAATAGCTGTAAAAATACAGCTGAATTGAGTAGTCTATACAGTGCTTAAAAAAGGTGTGAAAAAAGGTTACTGGGGTCTGTGAGGGTGGGCAGCTGGATGGACAGGGTGTTGTGTTTCTCTGCACGACTCTTTAGTTATTAATCTGTGAAGCCCTAAGTGTGAGAAGCAGAATCTTTAAAAGCAGCCAGGTCTGTCAAATTGCAATACTAGGCAGCAAGCAGGATTGTACGTAGCTTACATGGCTGTCCTCAACAAGCAGGCAGGGAGTTGCTGAGATGATTTATTTATCAGCTAGTCTAAAGATACATCCTGATGTCAAGCAATTAAAGGTATGTTGGAAAGACTTCTGCCTCTGCAAAGGCCTCAGAAAGCTGTTTATTCCGAAATAAGCCCTAAATTTGAAGAAATGGGAATGAACTGATACTGTCACTGTAGTGCTGTGAATAAATTTGTGTTCGTGTGTGCTTGCAAGAACTTGTCTAAAACATTATTAGCAATGCTGGCAAATCCTAGATAACTTTGCTTGCATGATGTCTGTGTTTATGCTGAGTGGAAGCTATGGGAAGTGCAGGAATAGGCTTTCTCTAGTAAACATTTGTTGTTTCACTTACCTTAAAAATCTTCATGTCACGTTTGTTCCTTTTCTTGAACATTTTTTTTTTTTTACTGCATATTTAGTTTAGGAGCTTTCCACAGGAACTACAACTGTTTAAAGACACACTTCATAAAGGTCTCTTGATGACTTGTTCAATGAGTCAAATATATTTTTACTGGGAGACTTTCAGATGTAGGCATCTTCAGGAGTTTCCTGGAGGATAATTTTGTATCCTGAAATACAGATAGCTAGTGAGATAATTATATCACAGCAAAGCTTTCTATTAATAGCTATTCTTGCTGTAGTATTTAGACATACTTCTAGAATTCACATAGCCTTTTGTCAATTCTTCATATTTTTTTAGCTTTCTGTCCACAAGAAAATTTCCATTTGTTTCCCAATTACAATTTATTTTCTTTTAAATTGCAAACATATGCTGCGGTATCCTTAGAGAACTGTTCTGCAGTTAATTGCTATTTATGTGTCATCCTGGAACTTTGATTTCTGTGGTAATGATAAAAAACACACACTGTGTGGAGTTTAAATATGAAGAATTAATTTTCTGGGTTTTGCTGGAAGATTCATGCAGAAAACTCTTTTTAATGGGAGGAGTAGCAGTTTGAGTTCTTGCAGTTCTATTTTCCTGTTTGCTTACAAGCCACAAATATGTACAAAGTTGGAAGCCACCTATTTGAAGAATAAAGAGGTTTTAGGGAGATGCTTGAATGGTTATCAGAAGTAAGGACTGAAAGCTCACCCACCATTTTGAGTTCCAATGCAGCATCCTTCAGTAGAAGACTTTGGCTGATTCTTGGATGATAAAGTTGAAGATGTGCAGGGACTGGGAACCTCCAAGACACCTGGCTCTGAGTGCTGTGGGTTTTGTAAGCTGAGGCAGCTGTCCTTTTTGCTTCTTGTTCCTTTTGTTTCAGTTTGTGTTACATGGAGATGGAAATCACGTGAATCAAGTTAAATGGAAAACATCGGTTCTGAAGGATGAACTAATTTTCTGCCATGATCTAAGTTTAGCTAACGACAATTTAGAGGTGATGCACTGTTTAAGGAGCTGATGTTAATACTGTTTCAATAATTTCTGTAATCACTGCAGCTGTCTACTCAAGGAGATGCCAGCCAGGTGATTGGACCTCTCACAGAGGGACAGAGGAGGAATGTGTCTGTGGTTAATTCACTGTACAAACTACACCAATCAGTTCTGAAGGTGGGCTTGCTTTGATATTTCTCTTCTTTCCATAATATTAACTTCTTTGCTGTATTGTATGCATATTATCCTACTAGCTGATGAGAACTCTGACAGATACTGTCAAATTTTGGATTAAGAACTGCATCTTAATGTACATTTGTACAGCTTTTTGAGACTTGGTTGGCCCTTGTAAGCACTGCTATGTGATAAGGTGTCAATATTAAAAAAGGAGTGAAAGATGTGTTTTATAAACAGTAGTCACATCTCATTGCCATTGTTATAAGAGCCTAAACAGTTGAACTTTGTTTTTCTTTTTTCTTATCACAAAAGCTCTGTCTTAGTCTTGGTAAGCCTGATAGCCCTTGTCAGGACCTGGCCCAGCCTAAGCTTAACTTCCTAAGAAACCCCCACTGCTTTCCCACAATTATGGCCAAATTGAAAAGAGGAGTGAAAGGGTGAAATCAAGAAAGTAGTACCTCACTGTGTGCATTCTTCCTGTGACCAAAGTCTAGCATAGAAATGTTTTGAGGACTCAGTTACAAACAATTCCAGTTTACTGACTCAGTGATATCAATGGCTACACATTCTCTATAAATTAATGCAAACAGATACAGTGATGGTTGTAATTAATTATGTTTAAATCCTGGCCTGATTAGAAACAAGATCATGACAACCTCTGACTGTGGATATGTTTAAAGAGTGTTAAAAAAGGCCAAAAAACCTATAAAATTTGCTTGGATTTTGCAAACAGATGGTAGATCAACTTCTAAGTCTGCTTTCTGTGGTGTATTTAGTAATGAACCTCATGTGCCTTCGTGTTGGAGGGAGATCTGATATGATTCAGCCTGAGTTCAGTACTTATCTGGCTTAAAAATACTATTATATAGCATGTTCATAACTGTAAGGAAATTGATAGAATGTTCCTCTAATATGTTAGTTCTAATGTTGCTGTAGCTGTACATAAGCAGCTATTTAACATCTGGTATCACAAGTCATAGAAATGAGAAAGAACACAACCATTTTTTCAAATATTTGCCATAGAACTGCTTGTACAGTTCTCCATAAATTCTGCACAAAGCAGCAGGAGAATATACCAGTTAAATTTATTCTGATTATATTAACCCTTCAGCTAAATTTCAGTTGAAATCACTTAATTAATTTCTTTTCCAAGGTAGCAGCAGAGTCCACAGGAAATAGGAGAGCAAAGGACTAATAGTGGGGCATTAAGAATTCTGTCTGTATGAAACACATTCGATAGTTATCTGTACATATATATTCCACTCATTACCAAGGATAAATCAGTATGTTTTTAAACGAAAATAAAAGTTGTAGATTCTAATCATTTGTTGAATGTTGACTGTTAACAATTCCTTTAACATTTGTAGGTCATTGCCAACCAGAGCTCATTCCCAGCAGCTGCTGAGCAAACAATTACAGCTGCCTTAAAGGTAATTGAATGTCCAGATGCTGCAGGGAGAGGGTTGAGGTTTGCTTTTTTTTTTTGGTTACTTTTTAGATGGATGCTTTTTTTCCAGGTATTTTGTATGAATGTGTGTTAGCCAAAGCCAGACAAATATTCTGCAATTTTTATTTTGTCTTATCTGCAGCTACATAAGTGTTGCATGTGCCAAGGCACAGCTTGAGTAATGTTTGTATTTAAGAATATTCTCATAATGCTCGGAACCCAGTTGTCATCAGACTGTGAAAATAAATATCTTTCTCTGCAGCACGCACCCAGCAGTAACTGAATCCTTTATCACCACCCCCTGACACACACACACACAAACCACCCTGTGATCTTTATGCTATCTGGTGCTTTTCCGCGGGGCGGTGTGGAGAGCCAGGCTATGCTCTGGGTGCTGTGGGTGACAGCTCTGCACATCCATCCTGCTGTGCACTAATCTGGGAGCGGCTGTGTGCGGAGGAATGAAGGGCAGCTTGCCTGTCTCAGGGGAGTGAATGGCTGAATGAGCTGTGTGCACCAGAACATGTCTGTCTGCAAACCAGGAATGCTAGATTGTTCTGCACATTCTTGAAAGAAAGGCTTCATGTACAAAGAAGTAGTAAACAGCCTTATTTATGTACTTCTCTGGTTAGATTAATTAAAGTTAAATCTTAGGGTTTTGTCCTTCTGCTTAGCAGTTCCTAATACTGAGTGGTAAAAAAGATGCTGTTGGTATCAACTGTTTGTCAAGGTATTTTTGAGGTGCCAGAATGCAAATGCTTGTAGTTTCTGTTCCTTATTTCTGCCTTTTTCTATTTTAGACAGTCCATGATCTAATGGGTAGTGCTGTTCAACCGTTACTGAACTCTGTAGGAGATTCAGTAGAAGCTATTATCATCACTATGCACCAGGAAGATTTTTCTGGGTAAATACCATTATATTTTTTTAAATTTACTATTGCCTTAGTAAGACATCCTGCATATGCAAAATAAATTATTATTGCCATATGCATAATAAATTGTTACTGCCACAATGTCCTTGGAGCAAGAGCCCATGATTATTGAGGGGAAGGTAGGTGATACATTATGGTCAATTAACACAGAAAGCAGAATTATAGCTATTGAAACAAATTAATCAGGCAACACGTGTCTTCCTCCTTTTTTTTTTTTTTTTTTTTTTTTGTATCTGTTGAGTAAAATTCCTTTTAAAATGCAAAGAAAACCAAGCAGGGGCCATTTTTTTTCTGCTTTAAAAGCCCTCTTCTGCTTTCAAACTGTTTTTTTTTTCCTTTTTTTCCTTTTTTTTGTGGGCAGTTCTCAGAATTGTTAGTGTTCCTAAATAGAGCATCTGATTCAAAATTACAAAGAAATGTTTCTACCTTACTACTAAATGTGAAATGGTTCAATTATTTTTTTTCAGACTTATTATGCTAAGCCACTTTTCTGTAAAAATGTAGATTACCATTTCCAGTATTCTTTATCTGCAAACATCTCAGGTCCTAGCTATACTGGAGGCTTTCGCCTTGAGTGTTGTTTTGCTTATCCCTGTTGTGATATTTCTTATATCATGAGTTGTCCTGAAGACACAGAAGATTTGGTCGATAGACATCAATCTTCTTTTTTCTGTCTTGGAAATTCACTGAAAAAAAAGGTATATTTTCAGAGTTGGTTTTCATTTTCCTTTTGGCTTCTGTTTTTTCTTAAAACAAAACAATATTTTACCCTCTCCATCTTTCTTTTGCTGCCACTAGCAAGATATCTGTCAGAGTGGATAAACTGATTCCATCCAAAGGCTGAGTTTTGTTAGATAGCCTGCATGCTCAGGTTCCTGAGTTTGGAATAGCTTGGTTGCCTGGCTGTGATTCAAAGAAAGAGGAAGGTGATTTATTTCTGTGTTTTCTAGCTTCTGTGCTGCTTCTGTGGTAATTAGATTGCCTTCATAATCCTTGGCTTGGAGCAATCTATGAAACTAATTCTAGGCAGAGAACAGGTTTGGGATAGGCTAAACTAGTGACCCTCTGACATGTATTTTCTGATCCATTATTAGAATTTTATGTCAACAGCTGGGATGTTTAAATTTAGTGCTGGATTTGAGCTTTATGCTCCAAACTAGCAGAGGCTCTACAAGTTAGGTGGGAGTGGGGTGATTTCCTTTATCTTGCTAGGATGGGAATGGCTGGTAAGGCAGATTTTTTTCACCACGGTTTCAGAAAGAGCTACACACTCTATTCTGAGCCTAAACGATACTCTATAATTCATGCCATGGCTTCATGGGGTAGGGAAAAAAATGAAAAAGAATCCTGTAGATTTTGGTTGTGTTTTAAAGATGAATTTAACTGCTTCCATTTCTTTTTCCTTTTTTCTTCTTTTTTGGCAGATCATTATCCAGCTCAGGAAAACCAGATGTCCCTTGTTCTCTCTACATGAAAGAACTACAGGGTTTTATAGCAAGAGTAATGAGTGACTACTTCAGACATTTTGAGTGTTTAGACTTCGTCTTTGATAATACTGAAGCCATGGCTCAAAGAGCAATTGAACTTTTCATTCGCAATGCCAGTTTAATAAGGCCCCTTGGTGAAGGTGGGAAGATGCGGCTTGCGGCGGATTTCGCACAGGTACCCCTAATGCCAGCTTCTGCTTTTTGTTGTTGCTTCACTATGTTCTCTGAAACATATCAATACTTTTACCCCCAGCAAAGTATAAACAGGCACCTGTGGAGATTGGTGCATTCCAGTTCCAAACATTTTCTCCGAGATGCTGATTCCTGAGAAATGCACCACCAAGTAGTTGTCACCACAAAGCACATTCAAGGAGGTGTGACAGCTCCCCATCAAGTGACTGTTTCATTTATTTTCAGCTGCGTCTTGAAATATTATCCATCTTGTCTGACCTCTTCGGTACATCCATCATTTGCCACTGTTCATTCACTTCATTCTTTCTCTCTCTTGTAATGGAATAGAGTGTCGTTTTCTTAATTGCTTTATATATCACGGTGCCAGCAGTGGTTAATCACTAGCTCACCTGCCTTGCAGAGGAAGAGACAAGCTAAAGAAATATTAATATCCTGTGGAAGAATTGCCCTTTCATTAATAGAAGGGCAGTTTTCCTGTGGGATTCTCTTCCTGACCTGACTCACCTGTCTCTCAGATTTACCCATATCTTTATACTGAACTAAAACACAAAACAAATCGCTAGATTGATATCCACTGTTTCTCCATGTTATCTGCTATATTTAAATTTAATTTGTCCATAGTAACACCGTGTGATTAACTTGCCAAAGAACACAGGCATCCTCTAAATTGGCCCAAAGAATACAGGTTATCCAAGTGGAAAAGGGAATTAGACACCAGTTGTCTGTGTATTGAGGGCTGCTTTTGGCTAGTAGGAGACTGAGGTAGGAGAGGAAGGCAGGGAGCGGAGGAATTACTATTCTCTTTCCTGGTCGTGGCTGCTTTGTATCTTTTGCCTTTAAGTACCCTGAAAAAAAGGTAAGAAAAAAAGTCTTTGTCAGGACATACATACAGATCAGGTTGCCTGACACTGTGTCAGCCCTTAGGCATCAAAAACCTTTCTGTGTGAGAACCAGCCCCTCTTTTCATGTTCCAGACTGGGACTTCAGCTGTCATAACAGGTATCAGGGCAATTCCATTTGGGGCATTTTGTTTGGTTATGGGTGGTATTGAAAGGATCAACTCCAGCTCTTTCAGCTTTCAGGATCTTACACAATTGTCATTTTTTAACAGTGGACTAAACCATGCAACAGGCTTCTACTGATTACTCCTGGGTAGAGTTTTTGCATTCATTACTCAAAAGCAGCAGACCAGCCTTTAACCAAAGAATTTACAGGGAAGTGTTCAATTGAGTTCAGTGGGAAGGCTCTGTTCCCTTTGCTATTTTGAAGACAATGGTGTAAAATAGAAAAAAAGGACACTTGACTCCTCCTCTGGAAGGAATATAAATAATTTTTGTAATTTATGCTGCAGTGCTAAAGTAAGTCGTATAAATTTGGGAAATATCCTTACCTAATTCTACAGTTCAGAGCATCTGATCTAAGCACCTATTATTATAATACTAAAAATATCACTCGTTTATCTTTTTAAACACATATTTTTCTCGTTCTGACACAGGTTGCCTTTTAAGTAAGAAATGAAGGTATGTTTTCATCAGAGTGTAGGGGGATTGCATGTTCTTCCCCCTTGCTGAGTGTAACTCCTGATCGGACAGCTGAGTGAAGATAAATTTTTGATTTTTCTTTTGTATTGAGGAAGGAAAAAAAAAAAGGTTCTGAACTCATTCTTGTCTCCTGCCTTTGACAGTTGCTGCTTCTGGGGGCTTCCTTGTGTTTTTCTCATTTTCACATCGCATAACATGCTTGGTTTATTTAAAAGTGGCCTTATACAAGAACTGACTGGGTCCACTCACTCTGTACCTTCAGGTATCTCTGCACAGAGCTCCCTGGGGCATCCCAGGCTGTGCAGGGATTTTTTAGAGTCCAGAATGGCCTGGGATTGCTCAGGATAACAGAAAATAGACTAAGTGTATTGCATTTGAAGGCTGCCTTATGTCCATGTTTTCTGGGGTGTGTCTCCTCCTCCCCAAAATCCATGAGTTTTGGAGAACATGTAAACCAGTGCCAGCTGCCAGGTCGCCCTGCTGGGGAGGGTGTAGCTTTGTCCTAGGCACGTTTTCTGTGTGCTCAGCCTGAATTGTGGCTGCAATCCAGCACGGGAGTCAGTTCGCTTCCATGCTGTTGTTGGTGTGGTGCTTGCCTTTGTCGAGGAGATGGCTGGATTCCTCCGAAGGGAAGGGGAGCTCGCTGCTGCCCTGGGCTGAGGAATTCAGCTGGGTTTCTGACTTGATGGGAAGGACAGCTTTCCCAAGCAGCCCTAAATGCTGCGTGCAGAGTACTTTCTGGCCCAGAAAGGCACTGTGTTGCTGGACAGACGCCAGAGCTGAGGGAAAGAACCTGCCTGGAAAGACACTGTGTGTGTAGGAGGAGGTTTGTTTATAAAATGCTTTAGCTTGTACTCTGTCTTGTAGAGTCATCTTGAATTTTCTGTACTCAAAAGGGGTTACATTATCAGGCTTCAAACTGTCTTTTGAGATTTAAAAACCTTTTTTGGTGTTCTGGGATTACTTGCAAGCAGAAGACTTGGGCAGATCTATCCAGCTTTGGTCAACTTGAAGTCCTATTATAAACATTTATGTTGCAAGTCAAATAATTTTGGATTGCATCAGATTTTGGGCATCTTATTAGATGTTCTTACCACATTTCTTCCAGGTCACTTAGAGATACAGTTGCCTCTTACTTAGCAGAATTACTTTGGCTGACAGCCAGATGTGACCTTTTTTTGCACCATGGGCTCGTTTTACTGATAAGTTGCCTCAAAACAACAGGTATCTATACACAGAAGAGGGAAAACAGAGGCTTCAAGCTCTCTTCATTCAGAACTGGGTCCGGTGAAGTGCATAACAGATCCAATTTTCTCGAGTAAGGCTCAGCTGCTTACACAGTTGGGAATTACTGCTGTAATTCTGTTGAACCCGCACCCTCTGTCTGATCCTGTTTGCACAGCCTCAGTATTGCCTTTTGCTATCTTAGGCATTACAGATATTTCAGCAGTAAGACCAGTTGTCTGCTAGTTTGGCGGCCGTAAAATAGGTACGATAGGCATGAAATATGCCAGAATATCAGGATTTCATGAAGATCAGTGCTTACAGGAACACAGAAGCTTTTTAAGCCCTAGGAAATGTCTGCAATGCTGCAAGCTTATTATCACATACTGTGCTGTTTCTTGGGACTCTCATTGTTGAAATACTTCCAGTGTACAGGCTGAATTCACCTCTACTCATGCTCGCAGCTTTTATACAGGCAATTGGACAAGATTACTTTCCAGTTCAGTCCCACAAATTCCTGGATCAGGTTGTTTTCATTTGTTTTTGTATTTTTAAGATGATCACGATTCAATATTCATGTATGTAATACTAAATTTCACTTTCAAATTCAGTTCTAGTCAGACTGGAAAAAATGTTCTGCTGGAGGCAAGCAAGCAAGCCCTGATGGTTTTTCATTTCTGTTTCTGGGGAGTACCAGTTCTTCTCCAGAGGACCCTTTAGCTTGTTTGGTATTCAGAGTTGCTACAGCACTTACACTGAGGCATGCCCTGGGATTTGTGGCTGGTAGTTCAGGCCTTCTTAAAGCCTGGTAGAATTTCTGGACAGTGCAGCCAAGGAAGAGATATAAACACAGTAAACTGAGACTTTTATGTAGAAGAAATGGGGATTCTACAGTAATATTTGGCATGAAAATTAGTACTCTGCTACATACACTTTGTAAACTGATATAGGAAAATGGCTGTTTATTAATAGTAATTACAAATTACAACTACATTGAAATCAACTAGTCTAGATGTTCAAAGACTAAGTTGTCCTTAGGCTTCATGTGTGAAAGCATGATGTGATTTCCCATCTTGTGCAATCCACGGCACAGGTTTGCGTGCTGTGTTTGCAGTGACATGGAAAGCTGGAGCCACTGCCTCTGCCACGAACCCCGTGTCTTGTCATGACTGGTTATTTTCAGCCATTGTCGAGTGGCTGAAAATATTTTTATTGGTCCTGCTTGAGTTAATACCATGCTGTATATAGCTTCGGATGTTTCTTATCTAGGTGTGACCTGAGGGTTTTTTTAGTCGTCTTTCAGTACTGTGGTCGAACTGTTTTGATGGGGCATAGTTAACACTGCCACCAGCTCTTCAAGTTTTTGTCAATATGTTACTGCAAAATGTTTTGGCATTACTGAATTTTCCTAGAAAAATGTTTTTACCGTAGAAGTTGACTACACTAAATTCTAACATAGACATAATGTTCCTGTTGCTGGTTAGCTTATGGTCAGAATCTTTTCCTGATTTAATATGCATTAAAAAAGCAAGGATAATAATCTTACATTTTTTTTAAATGTAAATAGGTTTGCTCCTTTGATCAAGCAAGGTAATACAACTAAAATTTTTTTTTAATAATTTTTCATAAGATACTCTTCTTTTTAGATTCTTAACAGAGAAGTAAGGGAAGCAGGAAGTTGTAATCACAGTCGTAGTCACAAGGGCAAAAGCTACTAAGGATAAAATGGACTTAATGTTTAATGCCAACTATCCTGCCAGAAGGAGGAAACTATTTTCTTATGTGCAATATTTTGGAGGTATTGCAGCTGAAGGATTTACTTAAACATCAGCCGTTTTGGGATTGCTGCACGGTGGAGAAATCAAATTCCACATCCCTTCAAGGCCAGCTTCTTTCATACAATAATTCACTCTTCTGCTCCCTCGCTTGTTAAAGCTTTCTCTCCTGCTGAATGGCTAGAAAAAAAGCATTTCGAGCTAACATTTAAAAACTTGGAATTCATCTTGGCCAGGAGGAAATATAATTGCTAAAAATTTAATGCTAAGATTTTCCAACTGAAAAAACAGCTTTTTGGTAACGAGGGATCTTGAAAACATGCCACAATAGGCACAAAACAATAACTTCACTGTGGGGTTTTTCAAAGCACCCTTCAATCTACATGCATTATCTGTATCTGGACTACGTATTAACTTCACCCTTGGGTTGCTGAACATAATCCGATTAGAGAAGCCAGCCATGTGATGGATTTTTTTACAATATGGCTAGCCAGTGAATAGTTCAACAGATAATTGACCAACTAGCCGTGGGCTATGACAGGGTCATAGGAGAAGAAAAGCTAACATAGCCTTTTTAGGCCTAGAGAGCAGGAATCATGGAGAAGAGGAATATGTTCTGTATAGGAGTTGGGCGAGAGCCTGCCCTTCTGTTCTGCGAAGCATAACAAAATAACATGAATAAATCATGGAAAAGCAATGGGTTTGGAACAAAGTTAGCGGAAATGAGGCAGTCTGTGAGGCCTTCTTCCATTCTAGCTCTCCCTTTTCAATGTGCACATGCACTTGTTATTGCTTCTCCTCCAACAGGTCCCGAGGTGCTGTGATAACGATCATCTCACGTTAGTCGTGGTCACACATTATTCCTGGGACACTTCATTTCTTACTGAATTTAACCTGCACATACAATTTTTCAAATATGTGATTTGGGGAGAGAAATTTGGAAAGGAAACAAAAAATGCAACTCATCTTTACGTATGTAAAGCCCATTGAATGTGGATGTATGAAGGGCCTCACACACACCCCTGGTACAAGTACTGGCTCGCAGACAGCCAAAAGCAGCACTTGACCTGGCAAAGCTCACCGAAATGCTTTGGAAGCTGGAGTTACATCTCACAACAAAAGCTGTTGCAGCAGAACCACACTGCATGACTCAACACTCGATGCAGCTTCAGGTGATGACAGGTGGCAGAATGACACAGCGACGTGTGCTCTGGCTTCTTGCAGCACCATAAAACCAGCAGCCGTGCCCAGAGCCTCCTGAGCCAGCGGTGCCACCCAGCGTGGTGCTCGGCGGAGGCACAAAACCTCCACAGAGGGCCTGCAGAAGGGACTGCAGCAGCAGAAAGATCCTGTGGCATCTCGTTATATCGTTGGATCTGGACAAATAGCTAAAATACAAGTAAAAAACACAATCTTTGTTGTTACATGAAGTATAGTTTTTATCGGAGGGATTGGATTATAGCACATAGCCGACTAGTGTTGTAAATTAAAACACACACAAAAAAAAAACAGTTTCTGTGGTTTATGTGCATTTTTACCACATCAGCTTTCACTCATTCCCACTCTTCGTGAGTCAATTTGAGATGGTATAGTATGCTGCAAAGCTTAAAAACATTTTTTTTTCCCTTTGGCAACTAGTACTTCACGAATCAACCATCTGCTGCCATTAAATTTATCTAGCTCTAGCAATACTAATAATTCCCTACCGTGAATAAAGGTTGAAGACAAAGTAACAGAATTTTCTGAAGGAAATTTTATTCTTTAGTATTTAAGACTGAAAATGTTAATTTATGGAAACCACTAAATATATTCAAGAGAAATCAGTGAAATTTGTTTTAATAAGGAACTGGTTAAGCTGTAGAAGGTTTCACTTACGTCTCATTACATCATGTTATGTTTCAGGAGAGAAACGATCATTTAAAACTTATTAAGCAGAATTATATTCTGCTGTGCTGGGATCTCTTTCTCCTCCTGGGTACAGTTTGATCCGTGCTTCTCTGTTTCCACGAGTCAGAGCGGCATTTTGTTGCCTATTATCAAATTCTCTAAGGCACCTACAAGGATTATCTTCTCCCAAGTTCTTTGCAGCTACAAGCCCACAGCTCCCAGCTGCACAGGGACACTGGTTTCTGGAGGATCCCAGTTACTTCCAGCTGCCCCTAGCTAATACTGATGCCTGAAAAGAAGCTCTGAAGAAATCGTTTGTCGTTCAAGGTCTTGTATCATGATGCAGTGAATCCTACTTAATAAACTCCTCTTTTCGGCCACTTGCTCCTGCTCCTGTGCAGCAGGCTGGCCTCTTGGCTCCTGTAGGTGCTCAGAAGTGTCCCAAGAGACCTGGGGAAACAACCCTGAGCCTTGTGCTGAGCTTGTGCTGAGCTTCATCGCTATGTTGGAGCTGGGGCAGCTCCCTGCAGAAATCCCAGGGAGAAGCTGCCTGTCCTGTGAACATGCACTCCCCATCACCTGCCCTGTCTGAGAAGAGGCTGCAGCTGGAAGGAATAACAGTATTAAAGGCTTCACCCTAAACACTGTATTATTAGAAGTGCTCTAACACTAGTTCAGCAATGTTACTTAAATGGGAAGCTGTTTGTATGGTGGTTTTCATCTGGTTACTTATTTTAGCTCTGATCCTTTGAAACATCTTAATTGTGCATTGTGTGGAAATCAGTCTGAATGCTTTTCCAAACTGGGGATTTAAAAAAATCTACACCAAGAACAAAATTTGCCTCCCTCTGTTGACTGACACTTCAGGAATGAAAAAAATAAAGACTTAATCCACGTCTGGATATAATGACTTTACCGAAGCTTTTTATTTTTGAACGGTGTTGTTTGTATTCTTGTGTGTGTTGACTGCATTTTTGCCATGTAATGGTACCGAAGGGTTCAGTCGGGGATCTGGAGGTGAAATTGCTCTTTCTCACTTTTGTGTCTTCGCTGGTAATGGAGATTCTGTGACAGGAATTGAGTCTCACGTGAATGACACAAAAACCTGAGCAGAGTCTGGCTCTTGTTCGGCAAGGCAGGTGAACTCCTTTGTGCTTAAAGAACACAAAGAGTTTAAAATTGCTTGTTTTTAAAGATGGATTCTGTAACTCAGAGACTGAACAGGGAGCAAACAGTTGAGCAAGAAAATAATGCTCTTACAGATGCTCTTTTGTCTGGTTCCATACGACCCTGTGGCAATAGGTCCCAGCTGCCTGCCAGTCTATGTGGGTTTTGGGCTCTTGAATTTGGGGCCGAGGATTCAAGAATGAACTACTTCAATCTCATCCTTCACCAAAGGAAAGGGTGCCCAGCTGAAATATGTGTGTGCTCCTACTGCTTTTGTAATGGTTTGAGGAAACCTGCCTTAATTTGCTCTCTTCCCATTCTGAGCTCAGGCTATTTGGGACCTTGACCTAAGTGCTTTATCTGGAAACTCATCGCTGGCAGAATGAATGTGCTCAGGCAAAGACACAGTTGCAGCAAGCTCATGAGAGCCCATCCTGTTCTCATCCAGGGAGAAGAGCTGTTGTTTGTCATGGGGCACTTACCGTGTTGCCAAAAATGAGCTAGAAGTCCTGGCCTGGGCAGTGCGGTATGAAAGAAAGCTTCTTGTCTCAAAAGCAGCCACCAGCAACAAACTGATGACTTGGTCCTGCAAGCCTGGATTATCATTTAAAGGCAGACTACTTAATGCTGAGTTTTAGATTTGAGGACAATCTAACTCAAATTAAAATGTTTGTTTTTATAGATGGAGTTAGCAGTAGCACCGCTGTGTCGGCGAGTCTCTGACCTGGGAAAATCCTACAGGCAGCTGAGGTCAGTTCAGGTGAGTTGCAGCAGCTAACAGCTGGTGATAGGACCAAGCCTGTGTTTCAAAACTGACTCAGTACCTTTTGCCTGTTCTGACTGAACTGAGAGCTTTTTTGGCAACACCCACAAGCGAAACAGAAATATGTTGAAGTTCTTCTAAATTTTGAGCAGCGTGTAACTATGATTTAAAAGTCTTTGTCATGCAAATGATGGCCAAATGGTAACGTTTTGTGTTGCTTTCAGTGCTGCTGCTTTATGACAGTGAGTTCTGTAGTTACCTTACGTGCTCTCACTGAAACACAAAATGTACAGTCCTGTGTTGTTTAATTAAAATACACAACTTCTGTAGATTTTTACAAACCGAACCTTTGTTGAAAACCTGAGATACAGACTAGTGGGAAAAAAACGAGGTGATTCTATCCTAACACAATATTGCCACTGTGTAGGTATTATTCTAATGCATAAGATAAGCTTTTTCTTCCTTTCACAAGAATATTGTTGCATTTTTCCAGACCGCTGCTGTTCCAGACCAGTGAGCATATTGCTAATAGCCCAGCTCTGGGAGAGGTTATTCCGTTCAGCATTATTCTTCAGTTCTTGTTCACGAGAGCACCACCGGAGTTAAAATCACCCTTCCAGGTAGTAAGATCAACCTGTCTTTGCTTAGCAGGTGTCCTAAGGAGGAACAAATGTTGCTGTTCACCCTCGTTATTTTAGTTAAAAAATATTCAAGCTCGTATTTTGTATGGCTTGATGGCTTTTGTTTTTATCGTGGTAAAGGTGTTATGGTCACTGATTTCATATTTTGATTGATTAACAGTATGAAAATAATAACCCGATTTTGAACGGGCTCTCAATTCCTTAATAGTCAGTTAGCTCGTAGAAGAAAATTGCGGTCTTGTCCCAGACTGCGAATTGCAGTCGGATGTAGGAAATCTAGATGCAAACCGCTGTCAGAACCGGGCAAACAGCTGATGTAGGAAATCATCGCTGAGCTCCCAAAATAACGGATTGGGCTGTTTCTGTTAAATTGTCTCTGATTTCTTAACTGATTCTGCATCGCCGCAGTGTTAAGCGTGCCTCTTATCGCCTTCACTTATTTCATCTTTGTTTCTGGAATTGTGTGTGTGCCCTTTTCTGCATTTCTGTGTAACTGGTATTTGTTTGTGTTTCCCCGTATCAGAGGGCTGAGTGGTCCATTGCCCGCTACTCCCAGTGGCTTGATGATCATCCATCTGAAAAGGACAGGCTTGCACTCATCCGGTAAGAATCATACTTCTTTCTTCTGTGCTTTAATGACAATTGAGCAATAGCTTATCTGGACACCTGGGCTTGTCTTGAAAAGTAGAGGAGTGCTGTTGGTGACTTACCATAAATACTGTTACCCTCTTCCCACTCGTGGGATGAGTTGCAAAATGGGAGAACAACAACACCTTCCTGTCCTGTATCCGAATCCTCCAGTGCCTTTGGAATGAGCACATAACCTGCTTCCAAAAGAAGGAAGCCACACACACAGTGATGGTCCAAGTTAACGCTGTATTTTAGCAAAAGTTTAGCCTCTCTCAGCTGTTGAAAAATCAAGGAAAGAGAGGCATTTAAAGCTTTAGCAATGAAAATGTAGCTAGGAATTTTAAAATGCAAGAGCTTTGTTTGTAACCCCTGTAATGTTGTTCTTCAGCAACCAGCTGGGGATCTTTAGGAAGTGGTAATTATGTCAGATTTTTTTAAATCTTACTAGGGTGGATAACTTTATAGGTAAATACTATTTTGGGTCTTAAAATATTAGGTAAAGTTGTGGAGAGTTTTGTCTTTCAAGACAAATTTTATCTTTAAAATACGTTAGAAGGAACATCAGTGCTCTGTGAACGTTACAGAGCGAGCACATGGATCCTCTGGATGCAAGGCCTGGATGATCATTTCGCTCCTAATGGCCTAACATTTCCAGCCATCTTCTCCGTGTCCCGACCCAGCCTTGGTGTTACACACTTGAGTGGCTCAGGAGAGGTTGTCACACGGAGCTGTACCGGACTTGCTCAGCTCTGTCCTTGCATGGTTGTGGTCAGCTTTTACTGAGATTGTACAAGATGACTCAAATTCAGCCAGCAGTGGTTATATTTGAGAAAATAGACCACCATCTGTCTACGCTTCTAAAGCACACAGCCAAGAGGAGTCTGCTGTAATTATTTATGTATCTATGATTTATAGTTCTTGCAGCTGATAGCACGATACAGCCCAGTGTAATGCTTGGGCCAGTTACAGGAAGTGCTGGCTGATCACCAGTAGGTGTCAGTGGGATTTATTTCTGGAATATTAAAATACAAACTGTGTCTCTTCACATGCGTATTAAAAGAGTATTTTTTGAAAATCATGCATGTCATTAGTTTAATTTGATTACAAAATTACAGGTTTCTTGAATCTCGAGCTATGGCATCTTTCATTACAGGGAATGGATAATGGGTATAGTGCTGATAGAGCTATATATGTAGCAGGTATTAATATTTTTATTGTAATCTCTGTCCTGACTGTCCTGGCAAAGCTGCTGATTTCAGATCCATTAGAGAAAGCCAGGAATGAAGATCTTATGAGAACTTACAGGATTTGGGTCTTTTCAATCCCTTTATACAAACCTGAGAATGCCGTCCTTAAACTATAGCACACGATTGTCTTTGCCTACAATTAAACTTCAGACTGATTCAGTTATCGGGCCTGCCGGTGGTCATGTTCAGACACTGACAAATTGTTCTGACCGTGGAGGTATTAACACACCTAAAGGAGGCTTTTAGGCAGGGAGAGCATCTTCCATTAGCCCAACTAGCGTAGTCGGAAAACTTTTCAGTTCAGAATCCCTTATTCATTTTGCATTAGATGCCTCTATAAAAATACTTCTGCTTTGTAATCCCAAGAGCAGGCTGCTGCAAGGTTCTCACTTGAGCATTTTTTGGTGGGACTGTGGTCTTTTTGCTTGGTGCCATGGAGGGTTTGGACACTTCTTGAACATCCTCACTTCCAGGGCATGGAGCAGGCGGCTTTGAAGAGCTGCCCTTCCCAAATGCCTCTCTCTGGAGCTCTCCAGGAGCTCTTCCCTGTTCCTGATCCACCATGGGGTGCTGTACCTCCTGCCTCTTCGCTGAGCTGCAGGAACGAACGTCCCTGGATGTGTCGAGCAGACAGCTTGAGACCAGTGGGCAGGGGTCTGCAGCGCAGGGTCTGGTAACCTGTGTTCCTTAATATTACATCAGAAGATTTCTGAGCTCTCCTGTACTTTGTGCCTCACGTGAACTTCTGTTGAACTGCAGGCGTCTTGCTGATCTCTCGAGTATTTTTATCACTCGCCCTCTCCAAGCCTTTGCTGACTGCGGTTGCTCAGCCCTGGCCCCTGCCTGCTTTGGGCTCTTGGATGGCTGCACGGCTTCAAGAAATGACCCTTAACGCCTGGTGCAGCCTCACAAATGGGAATTTTCTGCAGCTTCAGCCTGTAACAACTCTGCAATTCCTCCGGGGACCCACTTCTCAGATATTAACTCACGTGTTATCAGAATCTTTACAGCTTAATATTAAAGCTAACTGCGGCTTTCCTTCTGCTCGGCGGATCTCGAATGCCTGCTGTGCAGCACGGTGTTAATGCCGTGAATCAGGAGCACTCTGAGCATTTTTGTGCCCTTCTGCCTGCTGGTGTTCGGCGTGAGGGGTGGGATTTACCTGGCCAGGGATGTGTGAGCTCGCCTCCCGTTATAGCCAGCAGAGAACCCGGCACTGCCGGGGCTGATTCATCTCCTCCCGAAGCAGGTACTAAAATAGGGCAGCTGCGTTGTGTCCTGCGAGCTCCATTTGCTCTGCTCCGTGGAGGGGGAGCGGGCAGGAGCACGGGAGCCCTCTGGGGCAGCCGGCTGCCCTGTGGCACTGCCAGCCAGGTGAGGTGGCCGTGCTGCAGGCACAGTCCCAGGGCCTGGGATGGTGTTGAAGGGAGCACTTTGCAAGCAGCCAGGGTATTTCCCTGTGCTTTCTTCTGTCCCTTCTTTCCCTATTTAACTCAGCTTATCTCCCAAAAGAGAAACATTTCTGTTAAACATGGCAGTGCTTTGGGCCAGCCTCAAGGACAGCTCATGGTAAGTTCTTCGAGCTCACCCCTTCCCATTGCAGCAAGCAGCAGAGTTCATTGCACAAGGAGCTGATATCCTGAGCAGCAACAATCACTGACCACTGACCTGGCAGGGTTGGGGACCACCCTGAAATCAGCACCTGGAGGCTGTTTCCAGCCCCGCTAGGCACAGAGGCACAATGGTTTTGCTGCAAACATCAGCACCAGGCTGCATTTCTGCTCCCATCAACACAAGGGGCAGCCGCTTCGTGTGGCTTTGCTCTCCCTGCAAAGGGGTGCGCCCACCCAGGTCCCTGGCCAGCACCTGCCTGTCCATAAAAGTGCTCAGGGGCAGTTATTTTCAGTCATTAAACACAAATCACAGTTCCACCAAGCTCTTCGGTAGGGAATTTCCAACAAGCAGCGATGTCGCTGTTGTGCTATAGGTGGTGCTGTCAGATTTTACTGTCTGGTTTTCCAGCAACTTGTGTAGTGCCCGATTAAACAGATCCTGTGCCAGACAGGTGTGCTCTCACACAGCTCGATTTCCACGTTCCTCTTCGACTTCACTCTGCAGAGCAAACAGGATTTTAACAGCACGCTCAGGAAAAGGCTGCCCCACTGACTGGGAGCGGGGTCTGCAGGGCCCCGCAGCAGCACCCAGCCAAAGGAAGGGCCCAGCCTCAGCCTTTGGAGCCCCAGGAGGGCAGCACCGTACTCACAACATGAATATAGTCACTAATTAATCAGAGTAATTCCAAATGATTCACATTAAGATCCCTTGAAGAGCCACAGCCCAAATCACATGTGGTTTTTTTCCCCCCTTTTGCTGTAGATGTAAATCTCCACGCGTTGAAATAACATTTTTAAAAAGAACTATCTGGGTCTTATATAATCAGCTTGTCCTGATTTCCAAGAAAGCTCATGTTTTTGCTCAAGCAAGTGAAGTAATTTAATAAGTGCTTTAAAATCCTTTTCCGTATGTGGGAGGGTATCTTAAACTTAGAGGGTTTTTTTTCCTTACTTCTTATGGCATTTTTAATGAAGCATTAATGTATGCAGAACAGCCCACCAAGCCTCCTTCCATAGCTCCCTTCTACAAACAATGTTTGTAATGTATACCAGGGCTCGTCTTTTAAAATAGAAACAGATTGCCGAGCAGGTTTTATGTCCTTTATTAGACTGGAAGATGCTGAATTTAGGGCATTATTTAGTCTAATCCCTTCAAGAGCGTGTTTTGTGTATTACATAAACAGGGTTTCTTCCATCTTCTTAAACATCAGTAATATAACTATAAATTCCATCTTTTTACATGAAAGCAGCTGCGATCTGTGCTGCAGACTTGGTGATACCGTTTCCACCCATGGTGCTGTTTATTTCCCATCATTACTTATGCACAAGCGTTTTTACAGTGTCCTCTGCAGGAGCAAGTCTCTCTCTTGCAACACAGATATTTTAACTGGGAAAATGATGCCTCTGAATCGGATGCTGTGCTGCCGGCTTAGTTTACAAAGGCTTGTTTGATGTAGGACCAGTAAAGTGTGCAAAAATAGCATCTAAAATATGCATCTCGGGCGTTAACGTTGCTATTAAACACATTTATCTCCGAAACGAGACGGCCATGCAGGCATCTCAGCAGCTTCAGCACAGCGTATTGCTGAAGGGTTTCCACCCCAGCCCCCTGAGCTGCCGTCTGGCCGTGTTGCAGCCAACACCGTGCTGTGCCCCGAGCACCCTCCTGCAGGGTTTGTGCTTCTGTGTGTCACAGTCCTGAAATCCCACTCAGGATTACCAGGTCAGGTAATCGTCTTCAGAGAAACTAAATTCCCATCCAAAATGTACGTCTGAAATCACCTCTGCTTGGTGACCATTTGTGTTGTTACCTTGCCCATCCTCTTCTTCCTTTGCACTTCTAAAGCTACCTCCCTGTTACTCCCTGGACTTTGAATACCCTTTCTCCCAGGATTTGTAATTTCTGCCGTTTCACTGCCCGGACCTTCCCTCAGCAGGGATCCTGTCCCTAAAGGGAAGGGCCAGGCTTCCTGGCACATCGCCACCATGCCCTTGCCACGGGCAGTGATGCTGAGGAGTTTCCTGAGCTGCTGAGGGCCTGATGGTGGCTGATCAGGAGTTGTTCCAGGGTCACCAGGCAGGGAATGGAGCTCCAGGTTCCAGCCCCTCACTAGTTCTGAACTGCACTTCAGCTGCTCTACAGCATTTAAATACTTCTGCTGGAGATGCAAACAGGGGACATGGGGAAAATAGTGAACGCACGTAGTATCAGAGTACTGAGAAGGCTGTTTTCGTTATTTCATGTACAACTGTACAAGGTGTGTTTTAGGAAACTGCCTGAGAATTTACATCATGGTGTTGGAGTGGTAATTATTGTTTGGCTTTGGGTGGAAAAGAATTAGTTAAGATGTTCCTGCGCTGGTGATATCGATGAAGTTTGACTTTGTCTCTGAAACAAGGCAGCAAAGCCCCAGTAAAAGAGAAAGCCCAACAAGAGCTGATGAAGATGGGTTTCTGTCAGCTCTTTGTGTGCTGGGGAAGAAGAAGGGGCTGGGCAGCTCTGAGCCTGGCCCACCTCCAGAACCAATTCACAATCAGTTCCTTCAGCTGCTTTGTGAGTTACGCAGTGACAGCACCTGCCAGCGCTGCCGGTCATCCTGCCAGGTAAATCAGGTTCATTTCAGACAGGAAAGAGAAAAAAGGCCAAAGCTGCTGGAGGGGGTGACGGCAAGGCTCGCGCTGGTGTTTGGCACTTGGAGCAGCCCAAATCTCATCCCCGCCTGTTTGATCTGATGGGAGCAGCAATCTGGCTAAGGATTACGAAGGGCTGACAGTGAGTGGTTTTGGGCGTTGCTTTTAGGGTAGAGCTGCTTCTCCCTTTCTGCTGAAGTATCTGGTGATCTCTGTCATCTTTTTCAAGGTTTTTTTTTGAGCAAGGAGATAATCAAAGTCAGAAAGGGGCAGCAGTGTTACCATCTGGACAGCGATGCCATCCCACAGCTTCACCAAGAGGTGTCAGAGCTTTCTAAGTTAAGCAGGTCAATATGTTTTGTGTTTTTTTCCTATTTGCAGCTTTCGATGACTTCAAAACTATTTAGGACCAACAAACTTTGGGGAAATGTATCGAGGCAAAGACAGGGGCACTGGTGAGTGGGAGGGGAGGAAGATCTGCAAGATGAATAACTGACAGCTACAGCAAGAAAATTGTCACAGAAGTGTCTCAGCTTAAGTATAGGCGACTATTCCTTGTAGAAATTAAAATCTAACGTGTTCAATGATCCCTGCTGACCTGCGCTCTTGAGTGCTGACCTGAGCAGGACTGTGATACACGTCTGGCTCTTCTGCAGCATCTCCCTTCATCACGGTAGGATCCTTGAGCCTTCCCTGCCTGCATCTCCCATTGAGGCTGAGTTCAGCCTGCTCCTCATGTGCCCTGCCTGTTCCACCAGAGGCCCGGTGATCTTAAAAGCACTCAGCCTGCTGTCCCTTCCCCCTAATCTTGTCCTCTCGTTATTCAAAGCTTACCTGAGGACGTGGCTGATCACTGGTCAGTCTGGCTGATGGCCTATGCTGGGAGCGAGGTGAGCTGCACGTGGAGCACTCGTGGGCTGCAGCTGGCGGTGCTGCAGTTGTTGCTGCTGTCCCTGTAGACCCTGCGATGCCCCAGGAGACCAGTGGGAAGGGCAGGCTGGAAGCTTTCAGGGAGCTGCCCAAGGGCAGAAAGCTTTATTTTAGCTAGGTAAAATATTCTTTCCTCACCTTTCTGATTGTGAAGGGGGTTAACTTTTCTCTTGGCGTATGCTATGTGCAAAAAAAAAAGCAAAGCAGCTCTTGAGAGTGTTGGTACTGACTGTGGACCAGGCAGTGGTAACTCAGTAGTAAGCTGTTAGTGCAGGTGAAGAGCCCTCAAGTGCATGCAGGCCAGCAGCAGGGCCTGGTTCTTCACTCAGTCACCGCAGCCTTCTGAAACCTCTCGACTCTCCAGTAATTCACTCCAGCCTCTTTTTCCATCACCTCTGTCTTGGACAATGAGCTCTGGGCTTCAGCGCAGGGGACCTGCAGCCCAGCGGCTGCATCTGATGGGGCTGCAGGGGGTGGGGGCAGCGCCTTGTGCCCCGCTGCTTGCTTCATTCCCACCCCGTGCTCAGCAGCAGCCAGGCCGCCAGGCCCCAGGTTCCTTGTGCACACATTTGAACATTTGGCTCGCTCCCTGTGTGTCAAGCTCTGTAGTGTGACAGGCAGGGAGTTTGGCTGCAAATGTGAGCATTTGTGAGCCACTTGTGTGCACCCTGTGGCCGTGTGGCTCCCAAGTCCCCGCATGGCGCTGATGCGGGTGCAGCCCGCGGGGCCGGGCTCGCATCGCGCCCTTCGGCTACTCAGAACCCAAAGCTTGGACTCGTCTCTCCCCCAGACTGAGCACAGGCTCCTGGCTTCAGGAACGCAGCCCCGTTGTTGTTAAATGAAGACTAAAAAAAAAATGTATTTCCTGCAAAGCTCTGATGTGGGTGATTTTGAATTTTCGCTCAGGCAGTTCAGATCCCTTGCAGGTTTAGTGATGCCGTCACTCAGATGCAATTTCACAGAATTTCTAGGTTGGAAGAGACCTCAAGATCATCGAGTCCAACCTCTAACCTAACACTAACAGTACCCCCTAAACCATATCCCTAAGTTCTACATCTAAACGTCTTTTGAAGACTTCCAGGGATGGTGACTCCACCACCTCCCTGGGCAGCCCGTTCCAGTGCCTCACAACCCTTTCAGTAAAGAAATTCTTCCTAACATCTAACCTAAAACTCCCCTGGCGTAACTTTAGCCCATTCCCCCTCGTCCTGTCACCAGGCACATGGGAGAACAGGCCAACCCCCACCTCGCTACAGCCTCCCTTAATGTACTTATACAGAGCAATAAGGTCACCCCTGAGCCTCCTCTTCTCTAGGCTGAACAAGCCCAGCTCCTTCAGCAATGGCACGTGTTGTGACCCCACTTCATCCTACCTCCTCTACCATTCTCCTCCATTTGCCAGGTTTTCTGGGCTCACGTGTAACTTCCCACTGCGGTAGGCTCGTACAGGATATGAGACTCTCCCGTCCCACATCACCCACCTTACTCCCGACCCTTAGGGTGAGAGGCACAAGCCAAGTCAGTTTTGAATGTCTCCTTTCCTTACCCTTCCTAATTGAGGGCCTGCTTGCTTCCCATCAGCTTCATTTGCCACAGGTGCACAGGGGTTTGCAATGTTCCCTTATGTCCCCTGAACAATTTCGGCAAGACTGCGTGACTTCGCTGCGGTCGTGTATTTGTACAGCAGGTTATTTACAGACATGCACATGCTCACAGTTGCCCCTTTCAGCTGTGAAATGTATTTGTGTAGCTCGCACACCACTTTTACGTGTGACATCCTACAACACGTAAGAAAAGCACCGCAAAGCTACACAACAACTGCACACAAGCGATTTGTCTCCGGTTTAGACCAGTATTTCCCAAAGGACAGCAGTTCAAAAGACTTAGCCAGGAAATCACCTAAAGGCATTTCAGTTGTTCACCAGTGTCCCAGTTTTCATTTTCTGAGTTGTACTCTCAGTGTCTGCAGCAGCTGGAGTCTATTCTTTTCATTTCTAAAGGTTACCAGTACAGCAATGTGCCTGAGTCTGTGCGTCAGAGCTGTCATTTCAAGCCATCTGCAACATGCTGCTGCTGATTATTTAAATGTTAACTTGTTCACTCCTCAAAACATGCAAGAAAGGAGAGAAAGATCATGAAACAATTATGTAGAGCTCTGTAGAGGCTTTCTTCACTGCTACCTTCCACACAGACATGTAAAATTCTTCAGTAGGGGAAAAAAGTTTTTAATTTAATTTCCGATCTCAAACTTTTTATAGTACACTATTTTATTGCTTTAACTACTTTGCTGGTTTTTCTTTTTAGAGGCGCACTGGAAGCATACGTTCAATCAGTAAGAACGCGAGAAGGAAAGGAGTTTGCTCCTGTCTATCCCATCATGGTTCAGCTGCTGCAGAAAGCGATGTCAACACTCCAGTGACTGCATCTGGGCAACTCTCAGAGTAAGAAGTTGGACAGCAATGCAGTCATGAGCCTTTGGTGCCACAGGGATACTTGGGGTTAATGTAAATTACTTCCAAATATCAGAAGCTTTACAATGAGACGTGTTTACCTATTTCCTGTGAAATTCCTCTCTTCTTGCTTTACCTTCTCATTATAGGAACTTATTTATACACAAATGTTATGAAACTGTACCATCTTTATGTGCTGTACATCTACATCTAATAAAAATGAATCATACTCCAGCATTCCTTTTGAATTTAGAAAGGTTTAAAATTAGAACATACTCAAATATTACAGTATAATTGCTGAATATGTCAAATAAGGAAGTAGCTCTTTTCCTATAAGCATAGTTTTAAGGAGTTGGATGCATTTTAGCCTTATTCAGAAAATTGTGCTTTTGAAATGCTAGAATCATCAGTTTCTATCTAAAAATTACTAATTTTAACACACGGAAAAATACTTACAACTAACATAAAATCATTTGCTATTGCACTGCTGTCACTTGAGAATAATTTATATTGATTTCAACTCTCTTCTGGCTCAAAGTGTAATAAAGAACATTGACTATCCAATCGTCAATTCAGTATTTAAGATTCTTCAGCAGCTTCCTAACAGCAAAGCATCAAAATATACTTAGGATGGGTCCTTGTGAAGCAGACTTTCACGCAGAATTTGCTAATCTGTGTAGGGCTGACGTAACAACCAGTCTTCGTTTTACAAAATACACAACAACGAATTTTAAATGAATTTATTTGAAATAATATACAAGAATATAGTGTGCAAAAATCTTAGGGGCAACATCTTGTAGACGTGTCATAAACTGAAATTTACAGTTGTGATTTAAAAAAAAAAAAGAAACACACAGCTGTTTAGTACATGAAAAGCCATGATTGTAAAAGTTCACAGCAGAAGCAATTGTAATCCTACTGCAGCTGCTCTAATTTTAGACAGTTGGAGGAAAAAAAGTAAAGTGCAAGTGTTGCACGTATAGTTAAGTGCAAAGTTTGCCCCCACCACAAAGATGTCTTATGGCAAAATAAAATATTGGAGAGTATGTGGCAAAGACAAAACACAAAGTTAAAACTATGATGGTGACAATATCGACAGCACCATTTTTCTTGAGATAATGCTATTCGTTCATTTCATCCTGGTCTGGGCCATTGCTTCCATCGGAAAGAACAGCTCCTGCTACTGCCAGCGGGTGCAAACACATCTCACTCGTGGACTCAGGGTTTATAGATGGCAAGCCAAGAAGCGGCTCCCGTGCTACATCACACTACGCTCTCCATTTACCACGGCCCGGCAACGTGTTGGCATCTGGGCGGACTGGGAAGGCGCCAGGCTGACGCTTCGTTTTGCCACTTCAGAAACTCCCAGATCCGAGAATCGTAATTAATAATATGGTTGTGCAATACATAGGAATCAGCAATAAGAATCAATGTATAGAAACAGCTGTTACGTATTTTAAAATTCCCCTTTTTTGTACATTTTCTTTTAAAAATAAACATTTATACACATCTCCTTCGCCTCTTTCTAAAGTACTTTAGCACCACAGGATATCCATTTTCAAGCCTATATTACCTGATACATATATGAAGTTTGGAAGAAAAATAAGGCAATTTGGTTTAAAATGTTGATAGTTTTAGCTTACTTAATGTTCTATTGTAAAAAGCAAATCTGCACTCCTACTACCTCATTTCTGACTTGATGGTGCCAATATTTTATGGTCACACAAATTCACAACAAATAGTAAGACCTTGATCTTGCGTCTTCTTGCCATCAAGCAACAGCCATGTTGTAAAGAGAGTTAACAGCAAAATCCTGGCTTAGTGCTGTTGTGAGCCCTGAGAACGGAGAAGAGAGGAGAAAAACAAGTCAGCAGTTACCAATCAAAGGGAAATAGCCATTATCTTAAAGGTAGCAAACACTTATTTTGAGAGCTACAGGTACTTATAATCCTTGGTCAGTTACTCAGAAGAAAAGAGAAGGCCAGACCAGATGATTTTATCCCCTGGTCATCAGAAGACCAAGCAGACTTCATTGTTGCAGCATGGAGTCAACTATTGTTATTTGGAAAAGGAACCAAGCTGTGAATGAAATGCTTAGTTCGCGAAAAACAATTAAACAACTTATTTCCTGCTGTTGCTGTTGTATAACACCGAGGTAATAGGTTCCACAGATCCTATTATCTCGGCCCAAAGGCCCTGCGACAACAGGGAAACTCCTACTGTAATGGGTAAGAAACACATTCTGCTGAGGCCAACCCAAATATTCCTCTCAATTATACACCAGCACACCCACCGTGTTCCCTGAAGCTCAGAGGTGCAAGTGTGAAGAACGTTTGAGCTCACAGGCCAATGCCCAAGACTCCAGAAGCGTAAAAACAGTATTAATAAATAGTTATTCTAACTAAAACCACATGAAACACACAGGGCTGTCACTGTAGATGAAAATAAGATGCAGTGCAACATCTGGGATGATACAGTGAACAGAAAAACAGCTTGTTCCTAGCAGCTGGGATTCGCTGAAACCTTCTGTGACAAGGGACTGAAAGCTCAGCACAAATTATGTACAGCAGTGAAGAAGGAACTTGGAGTTGGAGCATTTCTTATTCAGTCTTATAGCAGCACTTGCACATGGTCTTGAGAAAATAAACTCATTTTCATGTGAAAATAAAAGGTGGCAATTTGAGGATCAAAATCTTAGACCTGTCAAGCCCACAACACACGTGATGCTTCCATAAAATGCAATAAATTCCAAGAATATGCTATAAAAGGCACAAAAGGGCTGCTGAACGGTGCTCAGTGCACCTCACAGGACCTTTCCTTCCAACTTACTTGCCTGTCTGAACCTGCAGGTTAGCCTGAAAGCCCTCATCTTACCTAATGCATCCACCAACTACTAACAACACTGCTGCAAACTCTTAAATTGATGGGCTTCTTACAAGTGGAAAAAACTTACTTCCCTGCACAAGAATTATCTACTGTATTTTCCAACTAAAGCATAACAAATGAAAGTGATTAAAGAAAAAATAATAGACTTTTTTCTCTCAATGATTTCGTACATGCTGGTAAAAATTAAGTGTTTAAAAAAAGTGGTAAAGAAAAAGCTTTTACTAAAGAAAAAGGAGAATGTGATATGACTGAATCACAACAGAGAAGCACTCTGTAGAGGTTTTAGTGGTTTTGGAGAAATTGACAGATTTATTTTACATACAACCTCAAATTCAGTTACTTCAACCAAGAGGTCACTCCCTTCCTCTGTATTTCACAAGGATGCTCGCTTTCAGGCCAAGAGAGTTCAGAGAACTCTCACAAGCTCCCAGAGACAGACAGTCTCCTCTCTGTCTCCTGCCAAGTGCCCCAGAGCAGGTTACACAACGTGGGAATGAAAATGAAGGTTTGGTCTACCAAGAAAAGGCGGAGACAGCAGAACATATCTTGAACAAGCAGAAAACTCTGTAGCTACCATATGAGCAGATGTAACTGCATAATGAAAAAAACAGCTTGAGAGAACATACAGAATTTGTTCGTTTTCGTTTCCAACAATCAGGATTTAAACGTTTCTGTTCTTCCGCCAAGGCCTTGGCTTCTAGTGTGTACATCCGTCTTTCTTCATTTTTCATTTTCTTCCACCTGTCACCAAGTATCACACTTATGGCTCTGCAAGAGAAATGTTGTAGACTGTGGTCAGGACAGGATTGTAGAAATACCCTCATTTTCCTTTATCTCAGCCCTTTAAAAAAGCAAAAGTGTAAAAACAAAAAAAACAAAAACATTTTTTTTTAAACAACCACGTTTCTGATCATCTTCTCCTACTTCTTTTTTTCAGTTAACAGCTGAGACTTGTGTGTTCGCTGAGCACGGGTCAATGCACTTTCTAAAATTTCCAAGGGCGTCTATCTGAGTACACAGCAACTTGCACAAGCCAGCAGAATAGGAATGTTAAAAAATCAGCTTGATGCGAACCCCCGCCACATGGTAGTTCACATTTGCTTTGCTCTACTTTCATGTTACACGATTATCTGGCAGCTTTGCTGAAAATATGTTCTCTAATAATTAGGGCAATGATCTGAACATGACCTCAGCCAAACAAAGATTTGATTAACTGCAAATCCCTGGGTCTATTTAACAGATCCGTGTAGCTTTCTCCCCTTTTAATCCGTGCTGGGGAGAACACGAGTGGGCAGAACATACTGGTAAGTTCCCGTGCTAACGTTCCTACGCAGGAAGAACCGTTTGTTCTAACACACCCATCGTCACTTCCAAAAGCTGAATGAATTTTTTCCTCCTCCTTACAAACTTGACGACCTTTGGACAGTGTTTCCCCACATCATCACGCCATATTGCTTAACTGTTGGATCAATATTCTATTAAAATGCGAATGCCATCCTCTGGCTCAATGACGACCTCTATAAACCATCGCTGCTTTAGCAACAACTGTGAAGCTCCCGGGTAGGTGTGCTTTGGCTTCAGCTTACAGTAATGAAGGCTGCACAACCACTTTTAAGAAAAAAGGGGTGTGCAACTGCAAGCAATCTGCTTTTTCCGATCTCAGTTTCCCTGCTGGCAGTGAAGCTGCTCACAGCCTTCTGACAGAAGCCAGCAGTGCCATCAGCCACTTCCACAGCGTTTCACACATGGCGAGTCTGAAGAAGGCTGCTCTGCACCACGCCCTCAAGAAAACGCGTTTTAATCCCAAAATACCGCGTGGCACTGGTCAGGCTTTTACGAGCCCAGAGCCTGAAGGGAGCATGGTGAGGATACTACTGCTAAGGCCAGGCTGTCAAATGCTCTGGGGACTCCTCAGAGCAAACCCTTCCAGCAGCAACCAGACCCCATTGACACCAAGTCCCAAAGCAAGAACCAGTATGCTTGGTTTGCCATTAGAAGGAAATACACGCGGTTTAATTAGCAGGTTTTCATGTTTTGGCAGTATCTGGAGGCACACCGACAGCACCAGCATCTGGTTTTGTCAATATTTTGTAGCAGGCCACTCACCCTCCCAGGAAAGAACACTGTGACCAGAGCGAGGTTGGCTGAAAAAGGCCCTGCATTAACAAATAAACGTGAAGCATCTGAAATCTTTGTATTTCAAACACACAATAAAATAGTACCTCCACAGCCAAGCTGCACCGAGGCACAAGCAGTGAGTACAGATCTGTGTATTTCAGAAAGCTTGCAGAATCTAACGCAAACAAAAAGCTTCGTTTCTCCAAGGAGATGTTTCTGTGAGTGAACTGCTGAGACCGAAGCAAAATGCATACAGAGAAATTTTACTGCCATAACTGAGACCTATTTCTCCTGACCAGAAACAAGAACGAACTGACCCTACTTGCACCTCATCAGAACTTCATCACGCCCTGTACACTGCCGTTTTCCTCTTACGAGGCTGGGAAGGAGCCCAACAACATTTTAGCAATGTGCTACCATGGAGGATGCAAGCCCTCGTACTGCAGTTAACTCACAAGGAGTTGTAAAACAGAACTGGAGAATGCCTCAAGTTCACTCAGTAATTATGTTCAGCATTAACAGAGACTGTTAAAACACAGTTTAGGGGGTTTATCTTTAAAATGTACACGGCCTCAAATTACTCAAGTATTTCTGAACACACACATTATGGCTACAGTAAGAGTATCTGGAGACGAAACTAGAGTATCTGGAATAGCCTAACAACAGCTGAAGTCCCCTTACGGACTGTAGCATGATGTGAATGTGCTTTGAATGCTTGCAGCTCACTATCTTCGTGATGCATCTTGAGCCACTTTATCTCTGAACAGAACTGTTCGAGTTTTGTCCTTTCTCATATCCATAAACACAAAATGCTGTAATAATGTAAGAATTCCAGTGTAAGAAGTGGGGACTACATGAAACCAACTCTAGGATCTCCT